TGCAGTGTGGCTGCAGAGAGCAGGTGGATTTCAGCACCTCCCCCTCCCCACACGTATATGCAGTGAACAGCCTGCATGACTGTATCACAGTGGTTCTCAACCTTCCTAATGCCGAGACCCTTTAATACAGTTCCTCATGTTGTGGTGACCCCCAACCATAAAATTATTTTTGTTGCTACTTCATAACTGTAAGTTTTGCGTACTGTTAGGAATCTTAATGTAAATATCTGATATGCAGGATGTATTTTCATTGTTACAAACTGAACATAATTAAAGCATAGTGATTAATCACAAAAACAATATGTAATTATAAATGTGTTGTCCGATGGTCTTAGGCGACCCCTGTGAAAGGGTCGTTCGACCCCCAAAGGGGTGGCGACCCACAGGTTGGCGACCCACAAATTGAGAACCGCTGCTGTATCAGATGTAACCCAATTCACTGCGGTGGTCAACCCTGGCCCTGGTCTTACTCTGTTCAGGAATAAAAATTACAGGCACCGTGTGGGAGTAGAAAAAGCACCATGTTGGGAGTCAGGAGAGCTTTCCATCCGAATCCGGCTATGTGACTGGGATATAGTCACTGGGCCATGGCCCGCAGTCTCCTTAGAGACAGAATGAAGGGCTTTCCCTGACCCTCAGTCTAGCCCAGTGACGGCGAACCTATGACACACGTGTCAGAGGTGACACGTGAACTCATTTTTTTGGTTGATTTTTCTTTGTTAAACGGCATTTAAATATATAAAATAAATATCAAAAATATAAATCTTTGTTTTACTATGGTTGCAAATATCAAAAAATTTCTATATGTGACACGGCACCAGAGTTAAGTTAGGGTTTTTCAAAATGCTGACATGCCGAGCTCAAAAGGTTCGCCATCACTGGTCTAGCCCTTGGGGTCTTGCCTCACCTTCCACAACTCCATCTTTCCTTCTCCACATCCCGGCTTGACTGAAACACGGCTACTGGCACAGGCCACCAGGCTGTGCTCTGTGACTGCTGGTCTTTGTGGAGAGCTGTTCCCTGCTTGGAAAGCCCCTCCTGACACGAGTACATTTCACTCACTGGTCCATATCCTTCAAGGTCCAGCTCCAGCTCTCTGTTTCTCTGGGTAAGCCTTCCCTGGCTTCCTCAGGTATGGTCCTCACCACTACACCTTGAGTAGACACTCCTCCTCAGAGCAGGTGTTCCACTGAATTGGGGTTCTCAGCTGGAGTGTCTGTCTCCCCATCACAGGCAGGGACCACATCCTTTGGAGACAATGTTCCACTGACCACACAGTGTTAGGTGCACACACACGGTATGTACTGTAGGAACGAATCAATGGCAAGACTGTTTCTTCTACCCTCTGTAGAAGTTATTGAATGTGTCCCCTTGTATCAAGGAGAGGAAACATTACCTGTACCTATGTCCAGTCTTTGGAACCACAGACAGATCCTTTTAAGTTAAGAGAAAATGATATTATACATAAGAGGCCTCTATGGTGTATTCTCATCAATGCAGCCCTTTAAAAACATAAGCCAGGTCTTGTTTCATTATTTTATTATCTGTCTTTCCTCCTAAAATGTAAGCTCCAGAAGGGCAGTCAATTGCATTCATTGCTGAGTCCCCATCACCTAAAGCAGTGTCTGGAACCTAGATGATGCTCTGTAAAAAAAGAAAAAGATGTTGAATGAAGGAATGGAGTAATAAATGAACCCATGAAGATGAAAGGTGCTTAATGTGTGTGCTTGATGGGGGCATGAAAAGAAGGGAAAGAATTTGAATCAGATTCTGCACTGCTAAGCATGTTTACAAATTGCTTTATAATCACTAATTAGCTTTTCTAAACCACATCCCCTGAGTACAGGCAGGCCTATCCTCCCAATTTTAAGATAAGGGAATTCAAACCCAAGGTCACACAGCAAATCAACTTCCCCTTCAATGCTGAGTTTTGAGCTGGTAATAAGAGTGAGATTAAAGATACTGATGATTTGTAAAAGGTTGAAATATTAGAGGAAATAAAAGAGTTCAGGGCATGGGACCAAGAAAGCTTTGCATATATTCTCAGCACACTGCATGCAAGAAAAGCAGACTGCTCTGTCCGGAATCATACGTACACTATTCGTACAGCACTATTCGGTCATCAATTTCCACAGTCCTGAAAGGCAGACATTTGCAAGAAACAATGGGAGCTGCAGTTTAGCTCCAGCGTCTCAGGCCCAGCTGCCAATCAGCAGTGACACCACTTTGTCACACGGAGGCTGGGCTCATGCAACACCAGGGCCTGCATAGGTGCTTTACAGGGAGAATGCAGGGGGAAGAGAGAGGAGAAGACTAAAACACCAACTAAAAAAAGAAAGAGTTCATCAAATAAACAATAGGCTGACATCAAAAATAAAAATAAATATATACAATCATAGTTTAATCACTGTATAATCTTCTAGCAGCAAAAATGCTCATGCATATTGCAAATGAGACTCTAAATTACACTTCTCCTCCTGCCCCCCCCAAAATAAAGGAAATGGACAGATGAAAGAAAGAGTCCTAATTGTTCCATTTCAGTTTTTTTTTAAAATACATTTCATTGATTTTTTACAGAGAGGAAGGGTGAGGGAAAGAAAGCTAGAAACATCGATGAGAGAGAAACATCGATCAGCTGCCTCCTGCACAACCCCCACTGGGGATGTGCCTGCAACCAAGGTACATGCCACCGACTGGAATCGAACCCGGGATCCTTCAGTCCGCAGGCTGACGCTCTATCCACTGAGCCAAACCGGTCAGGGCAGTTTTTTTGTTTGTTTGTTTTTTTAATCAAAATGAAATTTGCTGAACCCTGGCTGGATGGTTCAGTTGGTTCGAGTGTTATCCTGTACACCAAAAGGTTTGATTCCCAGTCGGGGCACACACCTAGGCTGCAGGTTCAATCTCTGGCCAGGGCATGTGTGGGAGGCAACCAACTGATGTCTTTCTCTCACATTGATGTTCCCCCCCTGCTTCCTCTCTCTAAAAAAAATCAATAAAGCATATCCTAGAATGAGGATTTAAAAAAATTAAATTTGTTGAAAAATCATAGCTGGTTTCCCAGCATTATTAATAAGTTCAAGAAGGGAAGAGTACAATGTACATTTTGACTCAAATTAGAAATTAATTTTGGTTGGTCTTTTTCAATTTACTTTTTAAAACATATTTTTTATTGATTTTTGAGAGAGAGAAAGGGAGAGGGAGAGAGCGAGAGAGAAACATCAATGTGAGAGAGAAACATTGATCCACCCAAACCTGGACTGGGGACCAAACCTACAACCTCTTGGTACACAGGGACATGCTCAATCAACTGAGCCACACTGGCCAGGGCTCAATTTACTTTTTATTTAGTTGGAGAAATGAGATCAATCTCGCTTCTGTTTTAACAATTAGTTTCCACTAAAACATAAAAATACATTTGACACTGGGAGAAGGAAAGAGGTCACAGACTGCTGAACGGGGCATGGAGGAACCAAGAACGTTCGGAAACAAGGAAGCCCATCCTCAACAGTCCTTCAAGACTGATCCACATTTCACCAAGTGGAAGGGCCGAGCACAAGGTAACTAAAATGTCCAGGGCACTGGCAGGGCTGGAGGCAAGGCCAAAGTGTGAGATCTCTGCTTCTCTGGGTCCTGAGGGTATGACACTAGGGGGTCACGCCTCCCAAAATACTGGAAGCAAATAGGAAATCATATTGAAATGGAGACAAGGAAAACCCAAAGCTGGGGATAAATTATAACCCGACCCTGCGGCTTAATCACTCACTCAAACTGCAACCCATATAATGTCAGATGAGGCGTTCCTAAACATTTAGCATGGTAGCATCTTCTCCACAGCCAACAAAACGTAACAAAACTGAAAATGGTTTGTTACTAATTCATCTTCAAAGGTGCACGAAAAGCGATCGGAAGCTTTCACCATATTAACTTTTAAAAACAGCTTTACAGAGATTGAGTTTATATAAAATCCACCTATTTTTAAGTGTGTAGTTTGATGAGTTTTGGCAAATATATACACTTGTGTGACCATGATAGCAATAAATAAATAAATAAGAGAGTATTTGCATCACTCCCCAAAAGTTCCCTGGTGCCTCTTTGTAGTCAAGCACCTTTCTCCATCCCAGGCCTCAGGCAACCAGATCTGTTGCTATGGTTTTGCCTTTCCTAGAATTTCACGTAAACAGAATCATCCAGTGTGCAGCCTTGTGTCCGGTTTCTTTCACTTAGCACACAGCTTTGAGACTCATGCATGCTGCTGTGTGGGTCAGGAGTCCCACACATTTTTATTGCTGAGTAGTATTCCGTTTCTTCATGTCACTTCCACATGCTTCCTAGAAGCCCTACCATAATCCCTATGCTAACATCCTAAATGTTCTTTCTCTACATTCCTTGATTTTGTCCTCCGAAGAAATGTCAATATGGCTTTGGTCACATGGCCAGTACAAAAAACACCTCCTGTCAGGAGGGTCACGATTGTCAAGCCAACAAAAATTGAAGCACACAGTTGGAAATAACTAGCCATGCTGAGGAAAAGAAGGCCAAAGGTGAGAAGGTGACATCCCGACGAAATCTCCTGACTATAAAACACTGAGTTAGAGAGAGCACTTCCTCACTGATCAGCTGATCAGCATTTCTACATTTTGGGAACAATGACACACCTGACCATTGTGAGGGGTACATGAGATACCCGCCTGGCTTGTGAAGTTTCAGGATATTTAGGTATTTCACATGATTGGATTTTTGGATAACTGAAATTTATCTTAAGTGCCGTTAATTACTAAGTAAGTACTGAAAGGGTACTAATTCCATGCCTTATTAAACAGTCTACTGAACATAATGAGCTGTTTACTAGATGCAGAATCAGCATTATAAACAGTCCGATGGCGCTAAGCTCTTGAACAGAGAGGTAGGTTCTCAGGGGTTACCAGACTTGGGTCTTCCTATTCTAAGTGGCCCCAAAATACTGTTATTTTAAGTGGAACTTTCCATCTTCTTCCTATGTTAACTGGCAACCTTGATACTGTTGCTATGTCCTTGCTACTAACCTGCTACTATTTTTCCTTTAAAAATAATCATAAAATATCTCCATGATACAGAAAAGTCTTAGAACATAAGTACTCCTCTCTGTCTTTGAAACTGTTCACAACTGATGTATTTGTTTCAGAACATTTTTCAATACAGTAAAAAAAATAACTTTTTTGGTGAATTTCCCTAATTTTTTTTTTTTTGCTGTGCAACTGAGTTTGCCCAAATATTTGTGAGCATACATATACTCTGGAATGTCACTTTTATGACATTTTGTTCAATGTGTTTTTTAGGCTGCTACATAAGCACCATTGTTTTAGATGCTGATTAGAAGAGCAAGTGAATGTACCAGTTATCGAACCCATCCCATGTCATCATTACTCAAGTAGGATATTTCTGATTCCTTGCTACTGTACATGGACTTCAGAGAACATTCTACGCATATAGTCTAACTTCCTGACGTTTAACCTACTCAGAAAGCATATGTGAGCATTATCTGGCTTGAAAGTGACTCTGTGGTATCATCAGAATGAGGTGTAAGGAACTGTTTTACTCATCCATCCATTTCTCCATCCATCCATTCAAAACACACCAAATTCCCACTTGACATTAGAGACTTTTTTTTAGTGAAATAAGTTAGAAAGAGTAAGACATGGTTCCTGCCCCCCATAAACTCACACACTAGCCAAGGAGACAACCCCTGCACTTGAAACATCAGAAGGCGGCACAAAGGAGCAGGGCGAGTCGTGGATTTGCTACGCCACATTGCGCAGCCGATGCCTGCAACTCAGCCTGTGGGAGGAAAACTCCCTGGCTGGCTACGCAGGGAGTTTAAAGACAGGCAAGGCTGTCCGTCCACTGATACTGGTTCTATCTACTATTCTGTTCTGATATTAACAAAGAAATGGTATCCAATTTTCCCCCCTAATCCAAAGGCAAGCATAGCAAAACGATAACTTTCTCTCTCCTGGTACTAAGCACTCTCACTGTCATTTTCGGTGAAGGAAACAAGACCCTTCTCATAACAGCAGAGAACAGTCACAGAGCTGGGCTGTTGCCTGTGAACGCCTCCTCGCAGGCAGCCCAAGCTCTCCTATTTTAGCAATCTGCACCGACGACAGCCCCCTTCTTGCCCTGTCAACAAATGCATGACAATCCTCCTTTTTTTCTTAATGCCTATCAGACTGGAAACAGGGCCGAAGAGGTGTGTCGCCAGTGTCAGGAAAGATGTACACAGAAAAAGAAAGAGCAGCAGTTCATGCCTGAAGGTCAGACATGAACAGGCAGGCTCAAAGGTCCCCACCCTAACCCCGGTCTCTCAGATATGTGGGGCCTTGTCCTTGTGAGCTGTTGCCAGCCCTTCTGGGCACGCCTCCTTCCCTGGTGGCGTTCTCAGCAAGAGATAGGGAAACTGATCTAGAGTGGAATAAGGAAGCAATGGGAAAGCCCGAGAACATGGGTTCAAACAAATTCCCATACAACTACCCATTTTTCTTCCATTTGAATCAGCGGGGAAGGAAAAAAAATCACTTCTCTTTAAACCTGGGAACTGTCTCAAACGTATCAGCGGAAACATCTGATATGGCAATGAGCTGAATAATTACTAGGTAATTCACGTGTTCTTAGCAGTCATTTTTTTTTAATGTTTTTGATTTTAGAGAGAGGGGAAGGGAGAAGGGAGAGAGAGAAACATCAATGGGAGAGAGCAACATTGATTAGCTGCCTCCCTCATACTCCCCACCAGGGATGGAGCCTGCAACCCCAGCATGAGCCCTGAACGGGATAGAACCAGCTACCTTGAGGTGCACAGATCGACACTCAACCAACTGAACCACAGCAGCCAGGGCAGCACTCATTTCGTTTTCTTCGCAATGTCAATGCTCTTATTCTAGTCTCTTCCCCACACCCCCCAACCCCCCAACCCCCATGAAATGAACACACTGTTTGTAAAAGTCTTACACTGTTGACTGGAAAAGCACCTTCCTCAGCAGGAACCTCAGCAGGAACACCCGAGGACACAGATGCCCTCGTGGTCACAAGAGATGGTGCCCTGGACCGGTGTACCTTCCTCTGTGCCCTTCCCAAGAGCATCGTCAGCCTCAAGGAGCTTCTAGACTCTCCGTCAGGGAATGGAGTACACGAAGGGAACTAATCATTCTACTTGGTGGAGAGGCCTATCCAGAAAGCTTAGAGGGCAGTGCTCCAGGGGACCCTGACAGAAGTGCCATCCTGTCCAAGGGTGGGGATGAGCATGGGAAGAGTTAGTAAGGAAAGCAAAGATATGCAAGGGACAGTCTCGG